GACTAATGACTTCTGCAAGATTACTTAACAAAAAAATAATAAGCCTGGGACACCTTTTAACACTGTTGAAATGTGCCCCCTAAGCTCTGTTGAAATCTGCCCCTGGTACAGACATTTTGGTTAAAGTATTATCAACCACTTTAGAAAAAGACTTTTTACTAATAAATGATACAGTTAGAAGCAGAATTAAATAAACTAGCAGATGAATAAATATCACTTACTTTATTAAAAGATTACTGGTCGATAAACAGTTTTAAAATCAAAATTGTCTTTTTACTTTTGGAATGTTAAAACATGTTCCACAGAGTAACACAACAGTGGTAAAAAGAAAGTGCTTAAAACTAAATGTCAACAGTTATGCATAGTTAAAGCTTATTGTCTGGCATATTGGCGAATCATTAAGCAATATTAGAAGGCAGAAATTCTAGTTGTTGAAAGGTGCCCCATGTTGAAATGTACCCCCCTCTCTCCTATGTGTAACCATTGTACACATAATAATTACATGTAAATATTTGATATTTTTACTTTAAATTATTAAAGGAAAATAATCTGTAATATAATAAGAAAAATTTTATAACTTTTAAAGATGCTTCATTTCCCCAATAACAAAAGTAAATACCTAATCCTTTAAATATGCTTTTAATACTGATAAATTATGTTTTTGCATAAGAAAAATAATACAATATTAAAAATAATAATAAACTTTTTTAATAAAACATAAACTTGTCTTCATTTTGTTTCTTGTTTAAAAATTAATCTTTTATATTTTTCTCATTATTTTTTTTAAATTGTGACATAATTTGAACATAAGTGTTTTGGACAAAGAGGTTTTAGACAGGACGGTTTAAACCTTGGATTAATCCATTCTATCCTAAACCTTGCCAACTGTGCAAAGAAGAAAAGTATGATTTATAAATTTATTGTGTGTCTTGAAAAGACAGTATCAGATTATTAATGACTAAAAATTACAACCACTTAGGTCTTAAGACCTAGTTTTAAATAATTTTATATAAATACAATTTTAAATAGGATCTATTTTGGCTGAATAATGGCTAAAAAATATTGGATGAATTGAACCATTGTATAGAGGGCCCACATTGACTATATAACCACTTTAAATTATCGAGTGAATTGTACAATTCTTATCTATGGTTTATATTGGTTGGTAACGGCTATAAAATATCTGAACAATTGTAGGGTTTATATTGGCTGCATAACGGCAATACTTAACAATTCTGTTAATGGCCGATATTGGCTGAATAAGGGCAATAAAATATCAGATGATTGGATAGGGTAAACATTGGCTGAATAGTGGCTATATAATATCGGGTGATGCTGGCAAAATAATGGCCCTTTAAAACCTTGTGGAGCCATATAGGTGAATATTGGCCCAATGAGTTCCCAAGTTATTTTGCTGCAAGGGTTAAAATAAGAAAAGTGTTTATGTTACTCGAAGGTCGCTGTAATGGAGGCTCATACTAAAAAGGCTATTTATGTTACATAACTTTTTTCTTACTGTCCTATATCTAGATATAGTGTATTTTAATTGCTCAATGTTTTGTAGATCAGATGATTCTTATTCATTTTCAAATAAAAATTTTTAATGTTATGAAATATTTATAAATTAAGAAAGTAGCAAATTTTAATTGCTCAGCTGTTTTGTAATTCAGTTTGTTGATGCTGGAATACAAATGTTTAATTTTGTGGAAATTATTTCTAGGTGCAGCAAAAAAGTCTGAGCTTATTTTAATTGCGCAAAGGTTTGTCAAATATGCTGTCTCCAAATTAGAATTAAAGTTTTCTAGCTATCCATCAAGGAAAGGTCATTCTAGATTTGGTAACTATCTTTACTTCTGTTTGTTTATTTTTAGAATTTAAAATATATGTATAGTTAAGCTTGTTAAATGCAATTTTTTTTTAAATGTGAGCATAAGAAACACGCTTAAATTACTAGAAATATTGATAAATTGTTGATTTGTTGTAAAACTAACTTTATTGCATGAAGGTTATGGAAATATCAAGCTATTATTTTTTTTTTTTAAGCTTTTTTAAAACGTATGCCAAAAGACACAAAAATGAAGAGAAAAATAATTGTTAATTGAAAGTAAAATTATTCTTAAAATATGGAGATTTCAAACTATTAGTAGAGTTTACTTGGCTAGAGTACATAGCTACGATGTTTAACACTTGGTTCTTGTGATTCATTGCTTTTTGTATAGATATGGGATATATCTGCCCCTGTTTTTCTCAATTTTTTTCTATCACTAAGTCTGGTGATAGATAATAGTAATTTGGTTTTAGTTATATATATATAGAACATAGTCATCATCAAGCTGACAATTATCGCATGTATTGAATGACATAGAAAATGATTGTATTAAAGCTGAAGATTTGACATTTAGGCAATATTTGAGGGTTTTGTAATTAAGCAGATAGAAGAAATTAGATAGTTTTAACAGTTGAGATTTGATACATTGCATAAATGGGAGGAGAAGATGATGGATTCAACAAATGTTTTATTGGTGTTTTGTTTTCTTACATTATATTTTTTTTATTAAATTTTGGAATTTAATGAACTAAATCTTGGTTTCAGAATTAAGTTTTGTGATGTTGGTTCTCTACGGACAGATTGTTTTTACAAAGTGATTTTAACCTACATTTGTGCGAGTTTGAATAAGTTTAAAAAAGTTTTTTTAAGTTATTGAGGGATTTTATTGAATGTTTTTTAAAAAGTTTTTTGGAGATGGCGATCTTGAGTAAATTTTTTATAGTTTTATGTAGAGTTTGATCCAGAAACTGAAGTTTTTATATGGGTAGTAGTTTTTGTAATGTTTTGTGTGTTTTTGATAATGACTATTTGTGGATTGGTATAATCAATCCTGAGGTCGTCAAATGAAAGATTTTAATTATTTGTGGATTCCTCTAATGAATAATGCAGAGTTCCCAACCCTATGCCCACGGGCACCATGGCACCCATCGATCGTTCTAGGTGCTTCCGCTGCTTGTGCCCCGCGATAAAATATTTCAGTTTTCCATTTTCCCATAAAATGCTATGCAATTTTTTTTGCTCTAATGAATAATGTGTTTAACTTGAAGATTTCTGTTGGCTGCCTAGGGGTAATAATTTGTTACTGGTCTGCAGTATATTTTAATTTATCTAATGTTTAAAAAGTGTGTTTGTTACGTAAAATGGGTGCAGATTCTTTTCTAATTTGTTGCTTAGGGATAATGATTCATTATTGATCTACAGTGCTTTTTAATTTATGTAATGTTAAAATTGATGTCTTTTAAAGGTGAAGTGCTGATGCTTTTTTTTTTTAAAAAAAAGTTGAGTGCCTTCGTCTGACATATCCTACACTGTTGCTTAAAATTGATGGTAATACAAGTGAATTTCAAATTTTGTAGGATTGCAATATTTGACTCTGTTTTTGACATGGGGGGCAGGCGCATAATAAGGCAGTTGTCTTAGTGCTTGATATAGATCTGTAATTATTTATGAAATGTATGTTTAGTGTACCGTAAGACAAATGAACTTTGAATTTATTAGGGTTGTAATTTTCTATTCCATTTTCATTATGCAGCAAAAACAGCACCATTAACAGGGAATTTTGTTTCTTATTTTTATCTTTTAAAAGATGGTGACCACTCAAAGTGTAATCTATGGGATATTTAACCATGATATTTCAGCTATACTAAACTATTTCATTTACTATAGCATTATTTAAGTGTGTTCATCTGTTTTTCCAGCAATTAAAGCTAATAAATATAGTTAGCCTAATATAGCTCACAAAAGAGCACAGTAATTGTTGTTTCCTCTTAATATATTGGGTATAATATGTACAGGGAAAATGCAGGGAATTTTTTTTCCAATTTGAGTGTTAATTCTGATTAAGATTGTGCTATAAGTAGTTGGTAAGAGAAAAAGATTGCCAAATATCAGGTGCAGATGCCTAACAAATCTGTTCATTGTTTTTTATTTTATGTAATAACATTTTAAGCTTATACTATTACCATATTATATTTTCTCTTAAAGCCTTTGCTGTTAGTAGCTTGGGGTATGATTTCTATTACTCAGAAGACTATAATGAAAGTTGTTTTTTCCTGGAAGTGGCCACTGATTTGATGACAAAATTTTCGGTATCTGATTTAATGGATGAAAATGAAAATATAATGGTTTGTTGATTATATTTATTCCCGTTGTATTGAATTCATTATCCAATTTGAATTTTTCATTTATAGGGAAATGATTGTCTGATTTAAAAATGGTTTATTCATGAAGAATAATTTTAGAATACTGGCAATAATACTTTTTTTTTATATACTACATAAAAATATTAAATAAGAACTATTTAAAAACAGTAGTGCTTTTAAGATGTCGGAAGAGAGAAAAATGTAATTTTAAATGTTTGAATATACTTCAAAATGACAAGTTCAGTTGACTTCTTTTTGTGGAAAATTCATTTAATTTTTTTTTTAAAGCAAAATTTGATTCGTACGTATGTAATATGAAGTTAAAAAATAAAAAAGTGTAAAATCTTGAACAAATAAGTGGTTTTATGAGAAAAATGTTTTTTTTTTTCAAAGATATTCCATATATATTCTTGCACGCAAATGATGTGGAATGTTATATAAGATTAAAATGTAGTATCTTTATACTGAAAAAATTATTGCTTGAATAATGTGTAAGACTTTTACCAAAAGAAATGATGTAGAGAATGACTATTTTAATTTTTTGTTGTTGTGTCTTCTGAATGTTCAGTCAGTATCATTATGATGAAATTATAGAACTGATTCTTCATAAAATCTAAAGTGTATCATGTTAAGCAATCAAAAAACATTGATGAAAAAGATACTTTAATTTAAATTAATGAAAGAAATTTTAGAAGCAGTATAAAATTATATATTAGATGTTATCATTTGTATTTTTTCACTGCATATATACAGAGTATTATTAATTATTATTATTTTTTTATACTTTTTCTTCTTACTTACTACTTTAAAGAGACGAACTTACGTTAAATATAATGGAACAATTAAGAAAGATTTATGTTTACATGAGCCAGTTTGTTATTCCAAAACATTAATTTTTTTTAAAATTTATTCAACTTTTTATACCTTTTTTTGACAGCGATTATTTAATTTAAGAAATGCAAATTTGTCAAATATACTTCAAAATTTTTTAATTGTTTGAAGTTCTTTTATTTTCTCTAAGAAGTTAAAATGCATCGTAAATATGTTTCCTTCCTTTAAAATAACATCAATGTTTTACGAGCGTACATTCACATGCAGAAGTGTAATCAAAGTGATTAATTATCTATTTTTCGTGATGGCTACTTTAAATATTAGTTATATACGTAATTCTAATTACATATTTCCTGTTGACGCTCAGTTGCAGCCACAGATTGATTTCCATTGCATCCTTTGACGGACCCGCGATGATTTGTACCCATCAAATTCAAGGAATTAGTTTCGTTAAAGCAGTGTTTCTTACTAACTAACGTTAACCTAAATTAACTTTAAAAAAAGTTGCCAGGAATCGCTGCAAACTACTATTTTTTTAGTGCTCTTTAACTATTTCTAAGTATTAACTACATTATTTTTAAATATGTTGTTTAAGATAGAATTTTAGTTGTTATTTTGATTTAAAATAATTATTTTAAGCGATTTTGAATACAATATTGATGAGCTTTCATTTTTAAGATCCCCCTTGTTAAAAGTTGTGAGCTTTTACGATTATATATTTTAAATTTTTATTATATGATAAAAGTATTTTTTTAAACATATGTCCTATAAAATAATTTGCAATTGTTTTACAATTTAAAAATATTATATCTAACCAGATCAGAAAACTTAAGTCTGTATCAAGAGCATTTGTTTAAGAATTGTAATGAGATAATATAATTGTGATTTCTTTATAAAAGATAATTAATCATGTAATGCCAATTTATTTTTCGAAGTAAGAAGCATCAAATATGAATTAAAAGTGACTGTTTGTAAAGATCCAATCATAGTTTTGAATTTCAATCCCAAAATTACTTTATAAATCCTAATAAGAAAATCAAAACATTTACATCTCTTAATCAGAAACTAGTATAACAATGTTCAAACAGCATATTGTTTACATAATATTGTCACAAAATGCTTGTTTACAACCATAACCAAGTTTTTATCTTCCTGATCCCCTAATCTCTCTTCCTTAAACTGCTTTGCAATTGGTCCAGAATACTTCAAATGAAGTTAGCCAATGTTAAATTACCGTGTCAGTCATGTGAGAAATATGTTCAAATGTTGAATTGGGTAAAAGACATTTTTACGAATTAATCGAACTGAGTTCAATCGAATTGCATGAGGGCCTTTTTTTCTTAATTTTTTTTCCATAGTTTATGTACATAATATTGTACGTATTGAATTTTGTGATGAATGTTTTATGTGCACTAATATGAGTATGTATATTTTTTATCAATTCAGCTTACTTTATGGAAGATGAGAAACAGCTTGATTTATTTATATAACTGTTTGTTCAAGTATGACAAAGCACTCCAGACTATTGGGCTGTGTATGATAAACCACAGTGATAAAATACATGAATGTATGAAGTTGTGGATGAAAGTAAAGAAATCTGCTGTTTCTGCCAATAATGAAGAAGTTATCCCCTGGTAAAAATTACAATATTACAGTCAAGATTTTAAAATCATTTTTTAAGCGAAAAGTACTTAAATAATTACATAATTGACTCAATACATTTTTGCATAATCATTTTTTAAAGTATATTTGCTGATAAATTTCATATTTTATTTGATTATTTTAATCATTCTTTTTAGTAATATTAAGTGTAGATAATTGTTTTATACCTAGTCTTACCCTTTCAAAAAATGGGGCAAAGTGTTTGATACAACTACGATGGTCCAAAGAAAAAATTGACATTTTAGCATGAGGTTCTTAAATTATGAGTGCACAAAAATTCTCTTTAAATATTTATTCATAATTGAAGTATAATAAATTTGCTCAAAGCAATGCTACTGCTTATTAATAGAAATGAGAAAACTAACAAAATAAAGGATAATAACAAAATTTTTATTCATATATTTGCACATACAGTCGACGCTCAATATAACAATCTTAGTGATCCAAGCAAAAATGAAGATAATAATTTTATAGGTTGCTATATTGTGAGTGCACAAGCATACTGTAAACATTAACTCATAGCTAAAAAGTATTTGATTAATTTTAAAGAAGCAATACTTTAATCATTATTTGGTGACTGACAGAAAATTGGTAATAATGCAAATTTTTTCTATATTGTATATCCTTTAAGGTAATATTTTATTGATGAAAGTGCGTTGAATATATATTAGATCTAGGCTACTATTTTTGATAAATAATATGTGTTAAGATAACTGTGAAGACAACATGTTTTGACTCTAATATGAACCATGCAGGAGGCGGACATTTCGACAAGAAAAGTGAATGCAAACAGTATAATTGTCAAATTAATTGTAACCGTTGAAAAAAAATAGTTACCATGATTATAAATGACCGTAAATTATTACCACCTAGGACTAGGGTATGTAGAGGGCCCCTGCCAATCTTCGTTCATTCAGAGGGGATTCAATGTGTATTAAAATTTATTGTTTATTACATTGTTACATTAAAGAAAACGGAGATTTAAATATTTGCTTTGAAGTTTTTTTCTAAATGAAAGGACTAATTTTACAAATGGTTAAGTGCGGATATACTAATGGACATTAAAAAAGCATTGTATCTGAGAAATAACAATCAGGACTTTATATATATGGGCCGTTGTAATGGAGGTTATACAAAAGGGACTAAACTATATAATTTTAAGTAGTACTTTTACATATTTATGTATACATAAAAGTTCTATTTACAATTGCTTGTTAAAGATGTAAAATTCATTTAAAAAAACTGATTCTGGGAAGCTCTTATTTTAGTTTTATTTAAATAAATGATATTCATTTATATTGCTTAATCTATTAATTCCAACGATACTCAATGGAAGCACAGGCTGAGTGACATTATTAGAGGATTTTTTGGATGGAAAAAATGGCCAAGTTTCTTGTTGACAACTAGTCTATAAACAACCCTAGAACATTACTTGGTTGGCATCAAACGCTAAGGCGCAGGGCGAAAAAAATATATGTGAAAATAAAAAGCTTGAAATGTCAGATTCCATACATTAAGGAGGAATTTTTATTTTTTTACGAATCAATAATTGGAAAAAGACCAGAAAAACTAACTCTTGAGCAGCTTCGACATACATTTTTTTCCTTCTTTCTTCTGGTTTGTGTTTTTGACACACTTCCCTGGTAATAAATGTAATTTTTTTGCTTAGCAAAGTTATGTTGAAAATAATGTTATTTTGTGCCTGGTGCTTTTTGTGCTTTTGACAATCTAAAAATGTTTTTTAAAGAAACCAAACCGGTTTTTCAAAAGTTGCTTGGTACTTCTTTCGCTAGCCCTGTTAATTAATGCAATTATATCAGTGCTTACATTATAATAAAATTGTTTTTTCTTCTGTTTTTTATTTATTTGTTTGTTTTTTAAGCACGGTAAATAATTGGTACTGTCACTGGTGGTATATGTATATTCGATGATAAACAATCATACTATATTAGAAATCCTTAATTTTTCAAAAAAGTCCTTAATTTTTTCAACAAAAAAAAAAGTCCTTAAAAGTGCTTAATTTTTGCTTTGTTAAAAGAGTGGGAACTCTGGTTATTTTTTACTCTTCCTGATGCCCTTCGGTTATTAGATTAAGCAAAACATGTTTTTAGAAGTTTGTACTTTCAAAGGGAAAGTAATAATTCTATTGCTCAAGACCAACTCCTGATAGTCGAAAATTGCCATCATAATCAACAATTTTCTCCGGTACTCATCCCATGTTTTAAGCTGTGAAAAACCTATTTCCCCAGTACTAATAGAAGGTATCGTGATGCGTATATTAGTATATATATTACAAATTAAAGCAGCACCAGTTAATCAATATCAGTATCCTATTACCAAAAAGTTTTCTTTGAATTATTAATTTTAAATTGAAAATACGAAAGGGCTCATCTACAATCTTTAAGTTGTATGCACGCTCTTAACATAGTAAGTATTAAATCTGAAATGATAAACATATTAATATATTTTTCAAAACTAATGACAACTTTTTTTATTACCAAAATTGGCATGGCTCAATGGAAACAGATTAAGTCCGCATTTAAATGAATCACATAGATGGATGGCTAAACTATCTTTTTTCTCCCTGCTAGCAGAGATTCCCTTGCTGATACAAATTATACTTTAGTAGAAACATATCAAAGCTCCATTGGCATTAGGCTAAATGCGGGAGGTTTTCGTGGTTTTTATCTCCATTTTGCGCAAATACTGATTAGTTTCGCCTAAAAAAAAAATTCTTGACGGTGAATGTGGCCTTGTTCTTTAAACTGGTGTTCTCTGGTCTTCTACATTCAAAGCTGAAAAGTTGAAAATTTTAAAAAAAAGAAGAAGAAAAGCATATTCTCTGAGGGGATTAGTGTTCAAAGGCGAAAATTTGTGAAGTGGTAGTCTAAATTATGAAGAAAAATGAGAATCTCATAACTAATCATGATCACGTAGTTAACTACAATGGAAAAAAAAACCACAATTGTTTGAGAAACGTTTTTATAAATTAAAATGTGTATATAAATTATTATATAATGCATCTATAAATGTGTTTATTTAATATGCTTTAGTTGAAACTGTAAATTTTTAATGAAAAATTTAAAATAATTTGTGTTTCAACAACTGTACCTAGATATTTTTTGTATTAAAACTTATTCTCTTTTATTTAATTTCAGAAATACCTTTAGATTTAACCAAATGTCATAATATTTAGACCACAATCAGCACTATATAAAAGAATACTTTTTTAAAATCAAATATTACTTAATTTTGGCCAATTAAAGCGATACATGCTGGTAAAACTCTACATTCCAAATTAAGGTTGTTGAAATTTAAGCCTAAATATATGTATATTTATTTTATCTTTTCAAACAAAATTATATTCAAGGAAAAACATTAACAATTCTTCGTTAGAACAAGCAAATGCTATGCACGAAATCATTGAAATCTCCCTTTAAAAAAAGTTCAAATCAAATGAATAGACTCCTAAGCATTTTGTGAGTTACGCCTTCACAAACATATTAAGGACAAAGAAAGAGCAACAAAAAAAAAAAAGGNAAAAAAAAAAAAAAGGTGGAACGTGTAAACTTTAACGCTCATACTCACATTCACTAAATTATCAATTCGCCAGTTTTTCCACTAAGCTCTTCATGTATCCAGATAGAGTCAAAAACATACTTTAAATAATAAAATTAAAGAGCCCATGATTACTAATATTTCGCAAATTAATAAATTCAGAAGAATTAATTAAAAAGTAAAGTTTAAAAAAATTCCTACAAGAAAAGTAGGATTGATAAATTTATTGCAACCTTTGAAAAGAAATTGACGAATAAAGTAAATCCATCCTTTTGCATAACATACATCTCTCTGATATCTGCATGATGGTTTAATATACACTTTCTATTATTAATGTAAAATAATCCATCTTTCAACCACGATCAAATTTGATTACAATCTAGGTATCTTGTTAACTCTTTCAATCAAGGGGAATGTTAGGTGTTTCCATTTAATTTGGTGTAACATTGTATAATGTGGTGTAAATTATTGACACTTATGATGTAATTGTCAAGTAAATGAAAAAATGAGTCTGAATTTCTATGCTATATTTGGAATAAATGGTTCAGTGTGGATGTTCCAATAGGCGGTTAAATGACACTCTGTCTATAGAATAACAAACAAGACTTAATGTGTTGGTCGTTAAGATGGAAGGGTCAGTATAACAGGCGGCATAGCTTTAAGTTGAATATATTTAATCGCTTGTTGAATAGTTGAAGAATTATATATATATTATTGCTACGTTTGAGTTTATTTTTATACTATTAGTTTTTAATCGATATAACAAATTAAATTGAATGAATGTAATTTTACTGTTTGTTTTATATTTTCCCGATTCCATGTTTTTGTTTTACTTAAAGTGTTGATGCTATTGTAAATACAAATTACCTAATTTTTTAGGACCATTAGTGATGTTTTACAAGATATAAAGGCAGACGTGAGTGAAAACATTGAAATTGATTTCCTGATGGAGGAATTGCGAAAATGTAGCAGTGAAAGGTATTTTTAAACAGTGATAAATAATTTACACTTTATTCTAAAGTTCTGCAACTGTTTGATATTCCTTGACGAAAGAAACTTCATTTATGAACGTTTAGAAGGAGTCAGAGTAATTCTGAAATTTCCAAGGTTTAATAAATTGCATTGAAATTCAAACTTTTGCCTTAATTCTCCTAAAAAGTATCTATTTCCTTCTTAGTTTTGATAAAAAAATAATTACTATTATAAATTAAATATGTAACAAGTATAGCTTTAACAATCAATATAAAATGTAATCGATAAATGTGCTGTCTGCAGTAAGCACTGCAGTACTATCAATTAATGAAACGTTTACAGAACGATGCAACAAGAAAGTTATAGAGCTGTTCACTTCCATAGTCCACCATAAGTCTCTGCCATAGTCCACTATGTTTGATCAAGCAAAGGAAGATCTGTTCATTTTCCTATAACCAAATCTCTGTTCATTAAACTTCAATCAACAAAATCAAGGTTACAGAACTGGATATTTTCGTGTAATCAAATCTCTGCCATATTTTTTATTCATTATTCTCTTTTAACCCTCTGACTGCTCAATTTTTGGACCGAAATCGCTTTAAAAATTGCATATTTTTTTTATTGCATATTTCAAATCTATATATATTGGAGAATTGAAAAATGCCTTTTTTTCTTTCTAGAAAATATTTTTTATGTAGATTTTATCATGTGAAACTAAGTTGGCAGAGAAACTAATTTCAGATGTTAAATTACTGTTACTGTTAATTTTTATTTATTGCATAATATAAAAAAATAAAATTTATAAAATTTAAGAATACATAAGGCACTGAGAAAAAAAAATACCTTAGAAATGCAGTTTAGTATGATATAGATCGAAGTAGGGTTCAAGGCAAAGTCACTCTTCACAGTCTTTACACCAGATTCGTGTTTCCTTGCGAATTTTTTTACCATTTGCATCTTTTCTTGAACAGCATACAGCACACTGTATTCGAGTCTCTCTTTTTATGGGGTTAGGTGGTATGTGGCTTGGAAAATGACGAGCTGTCAATCTCAAAGGGTTCAAAGTAGAACTCGGTCTTCCAGGACAACCGCTTTTATCTGTACTGGAATATTTTTCGATACTTTCTTCAACAATTTTCAAACGAAATTCCAAAAGTTTTATATTTTGTGTTGGGTTTTTCTTTTTGTAAAGTACATAGGCATTCCACAACGATAGATCTAAAAACTGCCTGAAAATTTTTATATAGTACTTCCCCTGCTGTTTTTGGAGCGTAGGGTAGTAGGACATTTCTTGGTCGTATAAATCGACGCCACCCATTGTATTATTAAAGTCACAAGTGAAAACTGGTTTCATAAGTCTTTTTAGATTTGCATGTCACCAAATAGGAGCTTGCATCATGAATAGTACTCAAAAGGCAGACACTTTTCTTGTCCTGCCACTTCAGAGCCATAACCTTACCTCTTTGATAGGCAACAATTTCACCCTTGGGCACTTTCTCTTTTCCAAAATTGACAGGGAGATCTTTTCTGGTTTTATTCACTGTCCCATAAGTGTCCGTCTTTTCTGCAACTAAGATGTCTGCAAGCTGGGGAGACATATAAAAGTTATCAATGGTGATACAATAAACTTTTCTCAGATATCTATTAATCAAGTGTAAAACAATTTTGGTGGGAACTGAATATTGGCTGTATTTTGGATTATACACTGTTCCATCACATGTGTATATCAGGAAATCTGAAATGTATCCACTTTCAGCTTCACAAAGAGCAAAAAACTTCAAGCCAAATCTTGCTCTTATTTTGGCAGTAAACATTTTCCACTTTAGCCTGCCTTTGAACCGCATCAAACTTTCATCTAAACTAAGATTTTCCCCTGGTATATAGACTTCTCGACATTTTCATTGAAGAGGTTCCATTAGTTCATAAATTTTATTCAATCTCGGCCATGGGTGTCGGTCTTTATCAAATTCCTCATTATTAGTAAAATGAAGAAACTTCATGAGTAATAAGAACCTATTTTTTTCCAATTACTTTTGCAAAGATTGGTGTGGATAATATTTGACGCTTGGACCAATAATGTTCTTGTTCTGGCTTCTTTATGACTCCTTGGAGAATCAAAACTGCAAAAAACAGTCTTAGTTCTTCAACATTCGTTTCTGTCCATTTTTTCCAGCGTGATCGCTCTTTACAGACTGTTTTATTGATAGATTGTTGGGCATGTCTATTGGCTTCTTGGACTATCATTCGTAATATTTGATTGTCAAAAAAAGTTCAAAATAGCTCAATATGCTTGCATTGTTAACTATATTCACAGTAATTCCAGGATTTCCCAGGGCTCGAAAAAACTCAGAAATTTTACCCGTCCCCGAGGACGGCTTGTCCAACAATGTACCCGTCCTCCTTTGAAACTAACCCGTCGCTTCTAAATAAATAAAAATATAATTTTCTCTTATTTATTCCAAACACTTATATAAATTGCACAATAAATTAGTAGTTACTAGGATTGCATTATACAGTAATAAAAGAAATACTAGGTTACTAACAGTAAAACCTAGTATATTTCTTTTATGAAATAATTTAAATGTCAAAGGTCAAGTTATCTGGAATGTCAATTTATCCGAAGGTACTGCATTTTTTAAATTAATCAAATATGACGACGTTTGCCAGTTCCACAATCAAGCCAATGATTTACAAAGGTTTCTGCACAGAAATCTGAATGAGGTTTTCCATTTAGGTAGATGTTCATAGTTGCGNAAAAAAAAAAAAAAATTTTTTTTTTTTTTTTTTTTTTTTTTTTTTTTTTTTTTTTTTTTTTTTTTCTAAGTTCATTGCTGAAAAGCCTCTTTCAACCGGTGCAGTACTACCAGAGAATACATCGATTCCATCATGCGCAGTATGTTGCTGTATTTCTAGATTAGAGGGTCATTTTAGAAGTGAGGCGCTAGATTCTAGTAAGGTAACAAAAATTGAAAATGTATCACGAACATTAACGGTAAACAGGCCGTCCGCGCGGACGGCGGATTCGAGAAATTTGTTGTCCGCTGGGAATTTTTGACCGCCGAGGACGGGCGGTTTTTCGAGCCCTGCAATTTCCTCTAAAAGGAAATGGAGGAGAANTCCTTTAACCCTCTGACTGCTCAATTTTTGGACCGAAATCGCTTTAAAAATTGCATATTTTTTTATTGCATATTTCAAATCTATATATATTGGAGAATTGAAAAATGCATTTTTTTCTTTCTGGAAAATATTTTTTATGTAGATTTTATCATGTGAAACTAAGTTGCCAGAGAAACTAATTTCAGATGTTATCATCAAAATAATTCTTTTTAAAATAAATTTCAATTGAATTACTGTTAATTTTTATTTATTGCATAATATAAAAAAATAAAATGTATAAAATTTTAGAACACATAAGGCACTGAGAAAACAAATACCTTAGAAATGCAGTTTAGTATGATATAGATCGAAGCAGGGTTCAAGGCAAAGTCACTCTTCACAGTCTTTACACCAGATTCGTGTTTCCTTGCGAATTTTTTTGCCATTTGCATCTTTTCTTGAACAGCATACAGCACACTGTATTCGAGGCTCTCTTTTTATGGGGTTAGGTGGTATGTGGCTTGGAAAATGACGAGCTGTCAATCTCAAAGGGTTCAAAGTAGAACTCGGTCTTCCAGGACAACTGCTTTTATCTGTATTGGAATATTTTTCGATACTTTCTTCAACAATTTTCAAATGTTTTATTGATAGATTGTTGGGCATATCTATTGGTGTTTCATGGACTACCATTCGTAATATTTGATTGTCAAAAAAAGTTCAAAATAGCTCAATATGCTTGCATTGTCAGCTATATTCACAGTAATTCCAGGATTTCTTCTAAAAGGAAATGGAGGAAGAGGAGGAGGAATATTCTTCATATCTATTTTGCACCACTGCCTAATGCTTTGCAAGTTTATTGAATCATGATCAGATTCATCGCTATATGAGAAGTAGTCTGAAAAATCTATATCACTATCTAAACTAAAATCACTTTCAGAATCTGAATCAGGAATATACACTCTGTCAACCGCTGAACGTTTTCTAGCAGCCATTTCTGATAAGAAAATAGCGGCAAAATGTGAAGTTTGCGCGGTAACACTATGCGCCTTCAAATATGGCAATTTAGTGGACAACTAACGACATCTGTTGGTCAAAACATAAATTAAACATCTAATACTGCTTAAACGGGATGCGCTCATCAATAAAGGAAGAAAAACACATGCCCATGGAAATCGTGGGATGAGCAGACAGAGGGTTAATATTGATTTTGTGAAGCACCCCAAACTGTGTAAACTTCCATTTTATGACTGTGAGATTAACCCTTATTGACCCGACTCTTGCAGCATTAAAGTTTAAGTATGAAAAGTAATTTAAGTTAATGCTGACACATTAAAAGAAGTTTAAAGTTTTCCCGGAAATCTCCTGGGACAATATGTCCCAATCGTCTTGAATATTGTAAAAATAGCTATAAATAATGGAAGTAAATAATGGAATAAATAATGGAAATAATATAAATGTATCAAATTATTTATTCTTTTCAGAAGTTGTCTTACCAGAAGTTCCCGTTTTAAAATAATCAAAATAAAAATTAGAATTTTGTCTTATTATATTTTTCAGCACTAATGAGATATATTGTCCCACTGGTAAGTACGATTGGAATATATTGTCTCAATGATAAGTACGATTGGGACAATCCATCCCACAAAGCAAAATGTGTCAAACTTTCTTAAATCTAAAACCTAATAGGTGCAATTATTACTTAAAAGAACAAACATAACTGTTTTTCACAGAATATGGCAAAAATATAGTTGTACTTACCTCGAAATTCAGAAAATACATAAATTAAAACTAGATTGACTGCCGTGCTTGCAAACAGAAGTCCGCCATTTTGAATATGAGAGTGTTGTTAAGTACCATTAGTCATATTTTTATTTCCTAATGTCTGAAGAACCCTAAAAAAACATAAAAAAAGACACTTAAAACTTGAATCTGTTTATCCATTAGGAAATAAAGTTTAATCTTTGGGATGTATATGTCCCTTTTGCAGGCTGAAGGGGTTAATCAGTAATTTGAAGATGTAAGTATATGTAATTCAGATTTTACACAATCCCGAGGAATAAAGGAAGACCACATACTGGATGGTTAGATTGTGTCAAGATGTAGCTCAGATGCATAGGAGTAAATTGACTAGCCTCTGATAGATCTGTGTGGAATAAGTTGCTTGAGACAGCTAAGGTTATAACCATAGGAATAAAAAAAAAGCATTTTGAGTTTTGAAAGGGCATTTTGCTCTTAAAAAGCACTTAACACCGTGAAAATTTATCAAAATGTGTAACACATATCATGTAATAACTGAATTTGATCCTCAACAATTTGTTAATTACCGTCTTATACTATTTTATGTGTATATTTCAAAAAGTAATATTCACTCATTTTCTAAGTAAGAGAAAAATTTGTTGTTTATAAATAATGATTAAAGGCATGCTAAGAGAAAATCTCTGTGGGTACATATTTTTTTTCAATAAAAAGTGAGCTAAAATGAACTTATTTTTTGATAAGCAGCTTAAAAGATTTTTCTATAATTAATACTAAATATTATTAGAAAAAGAACATTTAAAGGTGCATTTATTTATTTTTTTAAAAAGGTAATTTTTAAAAAAAATAATTTTAAAAATTAAAATCACTTTAAAAAATTTTTAATATGTGCCTTTAAGTAAAGAGAAACTGTTAAAAATTTTGCCAGTTGTAAATAATCCTAACAAATTTAAATATTTGATTTATCAATTAGAATTAAACCTATAAACACAGATAATAATTTTTGTGTGTAATTATTTCACCAGTTAATTGATTTTTCTTAAAAAGGGAATGTGAGTAAAAAGGCAGTGTTTTTAAAGGATGGCAGCATATTTTTACAAAGAGGGCACATTTATAGGGATCAAAGGGCAGGCAAGGCGGGCGGTCTTTCTTAAAACGCTTCGGGTAAACACTTTTGTAGTACTAATAGAGGGGGGGGNAAACACTTTTGTAGTACTAAGAGGGGGGGGGGGAACAGCTGCAGATTTTCCATAATTACTAAACCATTTACTTTCCGTAGTTACTTAGAATTTATTTTCCGCTATAGAATTACAGAAAGTTGAGAATTTCTACAAATATTGTCTTGACTATCTTTCTGTTACTTTTTAAACTTTCTCATTATCTCTGTATGATTAATTGTTAGTTGCAGAGATATAAATGTTATGGGTTTTCAGTAGTTACGAACCATTTTAGGTCTAGCAACAGAATTAGAGAATGTTGTCCAAAAATTTTTCAAAACTTCATCTCCAATTATTTTAATAGGGCTTTATTTTCTGTTGCGATGTTTTAAATTTGTAAATAATTCCTCATTTTTAATAATATTTTAAAATTTTCGAGCAAATTTTACCGTTATTCTTGTCTTACAAATGAACTTATTTTTATAGTACATTTCAAATCAATATCGTTATTTCAATATATTTATAAGTTACTTTTATTGCTTAAAAAATAATAATTAATAAACTAAATTGTTAAAAATTTATTAAATATGTAATTTCAAGACTTTAGAAAATTTATATTTCAATATTATAATACTTACTACTGATTAATTTTTTCCTACGCATGGAATGGACCATTTAAAAATAAAAAACTGTATATTGAATCTGTGGTATATCTATACTCTTAGAAATTTTCTGGAAGCGGAAATTATTGCCATTGTCAACAGGCTTTCAAAGCTACAGTGTCCAGATACTTTCAAAGCTGCATACCACACTGAAATTTTAATGCTGCCTACAACAATAGTTGAAAAAGTCTGTGAAAGTTTAAGGCTGTAAGTACATTTATGATAGTGGTGTTCATTACTTTTGTATTTTTAACCTTTATATAGAGAGTATGCATAACCTTTTACTATTAGTTCTGTTTCAGAAATGTGTTTAGAAATTATCAAATTGCTTAAAGGTCATCTTAAGGATAATCCGAAAGACAATAAAGCAAAACTTCAAATCTCCATTGCTTATTTTTGGTTATACCATTCTCAGTCTAAGTTGTTACAGAAATTTGCAGAGGTGAGTTGTTAAAGTTCATATTATCTCCATAATTAATCTTTACGCTCTATAGCGGGTTTAATACGCAAATTTATGTATGCTAAAAGCAATTTCACACGCTTTTCATAGGGTTCAGTGCTCATTAGTCATAATTTGCATGAAAAAATTTCAATTTGACTCCTAGAAAATTATACCGTGATCTCATTTTTGATGTCTAAATTTTTAAAATACCTTTTCTTTTGCGATTTAACTTCTGGCTGAGCTATACAAGCGACAGAACGTTAACACACTGAGTATCTGCAGTTGTCTGGAATGAAAGTTACGAGTATGATGTTGCACAATCCGCTGACTTATTCTGATCTTAAAAAAATCAATTCAAAATATTCTCGAATCACAATGGCAAAACTGTTGGAAGAATGAAACTAATAAAAAACTACACGCCATTAAAACTTACATACAGCCTTATAAACAGTTAAACATCAGTTGAAGATTTGATGTGTTTTTAAACTGCTTGCGTATTGGCCACACATGAATAACTCATAAACACCTTTTTATAAACGAACCAGAATGCACAAATTGTAAAGAACCTTTAACTGTTATACATATTTTGATCGAATGCAGTAAATTTAAAAACCAGAGACTGCATCATTTTGGTACCTTCCATCCGTCATTGTTTTCACTAATTGGAGATGATCCTCACTCTAACATTTTCTCGTACCTTAAGGATATTGGCATTCATACATCTATCTGGTTTTTAAACCAAAACAGAATTGTGAACCTAGCTGTAAAATATCTACCTACTTGGAGGCACGATATAGCCAAGACTGGCTCTTGCGCCAAACAACCAAACCTTTTTAGCAATTTTTGAATCTTTTTTTTTAAAAAAAAATAATTATATAAATATATATATATCAGGGATACATGCCGAGCTACCTCAAAGTATACCAATACGAAGTAACTAATCCTTTAAACATAACAAATAAATTTAATAGCTTTGGGAAAAAACATAAACTTATCGTAGATTTGAAATTTGTCACATAGACATGCTATAAAAATAGATAAAGTCTTTTTGTTTGCATCACAGGCTTTTTCACTTTCGTTCTCACACAATGATTCACAAAGAATGTCTGAGTCTCTCCCTCTCACATAGAGACAGTGCCATCTAGGAGTCGAAGTAGGCTCTCTAACTCCTTCACATTCTCGGGCATCTGACAGGTTTCGTGCACGAAACTTGACAATGACTAAGAAATCTGAAAAGATTTTAAAAAAACAAAGCAGTATACAAAACATTAACAAATTTTTGAAAGAAAAAACAAAGCTGCTTCGTTCCATCAGTAAATATGCACTAATTTGTCCATGGCTTCATATAGTCTACAGCAGTGGTTGTTAAGTTAGGACCTTCATGTTCCCCAACTTTTTCTACTTCATATCGGTCATTGCATTTCACTTTAACAATCTTGTAAGGACCAGGAAACTTTGGACGCAACTTTAAACCAGTTCCAAATTGTGTTCTTTGAATCGCCGCTAAGTCATCTTTTCTGTACTTGTGGGGTTGTTTGCACTTTTTGTTGTCAGTTGATTTATTCTGCTCTTGAATTTCCATAATTCGTTGCTGTGCATCACTTCTAAAATCTTCTCGTTGTTTCATAAAGTAGTTTTCATATTCTTCAGTTAGAATTTCTTTAATTCGTAAATCTTTGTTTTTCATGGGTATTCCTATCATTAGTTGAAATGGCGTTTTGTTTGTACTGGTGGAAATTGTACTATTTATGAATCGCTGCACATCGTTTATGTGTTTATACCAGTCCATTGGATTATCAATGGATAACTTTGAGAATAGGAATAAAAGCTTCGCCTATATGAATAAAAGCTTCGTGGACTTGACCATTTTCACGAGGTACTCCAGCAGTAATAAGAATATGTTCTTCTTTAGGAATCGGATATAAGAAACCTTCTTTCTTTCCATGCTTTCGGTTGCATAGAATACACTCAACACAATTCGCTAGGACAGATTGTATATTCGCTTTTAGACCAGGAATATAATAATTTTGTTTAATAGCTTCTTCAGTTTTAGTGAGTGCGTAATGTCCCTTACTATGAACTTCTTCAATGATATCATTTTGCATCGCTTCTGGTATTACTAAAAGATCCCTACCATTATCATATCGATATATTACCATTTTCATTGGCAATTAATGTTTTAATAGTGTTTATTTGCTCATCCTCTTTGTGGGCAGCTGCTATTTTCATGGTTACCTCATCATGCTGAATTATAAGAGCAAACTTTCTGCTTAAGGCATCATCATGCTTCCTTTGTGTAGCAGGTCGATTTAAATTTTCCGCTTTAAGCTTTTCAAGCTGAATTTCCTGTGCTAATTTTTCTTTTTCGGCAGTCGCTTTTTCCAAGCGTTCCAAAACAATATTTTCTAACACATTTTTCGTAAATATTTCATCGTATTTAGTATCGGAAGTAATTAGCTGTGTTATATTGATGATTTTAGGATTAGGAGGAAGGGTTATCCCTAATTCTTCTGCTAGTTTTAACTGATCTTCCTTTCTAGATCTGGACAAGAAGCTCATTATTTCATTTTTCCTTATAATTCACACAGAATAATAGTAATAAAACATAGCACTCACAGGTTCGTAATTTTCCTTTATCCAATTAAAACGCACACTTTGGACGCCAAAATATCAGGGATATATGCCGAGCTACTTCAAAGTATACCAATATGAAATAACTGATCCGTTAAACATAACTTTGGTAAAAAACATAAACTTATCGTAGATTTCAAATTTGTCACATAGACATGCTATAAAAATAGATTAAGTCTTTTTGTTTGCCACACAGGCTTTTTCACTTTCGTTCTCACTCAATGATTCACAAAAAATGTTTGAGTCTCTCCCTCTCACATAGAGACAGTGCCACCTAGGAGTCGAAGTAGGCTCTGTAACTCCTTCACACACACACAGACATATATATAATATAATTTTTAACAAAAATCTGATCTTAAAAACAATCAGCATATGCTATAATAATCTGTAACACCTACTGTCATACTGCCAGATTTCTACTACCAGGGTTTGAAAAAAGAGCAATCAAGTTAAAGTAATCTTGTGGGTAAATAACCACTCAAATATACTTTACTGGATTTGGAATTTACAAGTTTTTCTATATGTGATAGCCTGCTAAGCAATAGTATATTTTCTTTGCACTAAACACAATGTTATTGATATTTTATCTCATTGGTATTGTCATTTAACTTTTAAATACTTTAACATTAATTTTAATAAATCTACCTTTTATATATATGTATACATATATAACGTCGTTGCCGAGTGGAAGGATTAAAACAGGTCTTAGGCCGGGAAGGAGGGTACAATTTTTATTTATTAATTATTAGACAGAAGCAGTCACGAAAGTGTGCACGAAAAGTTGTGCTTCTCCATTATACGTTAGGGAAAATCTTGCAAAGTAAATCGGTAAAATGTTTCAATTTAGGGAAAGAGGGAAATCTTAGTAATTGTAATTAGTTTATCAAATCGGTTGAGCGTTTCCCACAGAGAGCAAAAGGAAAAATGTCCTGCTTTTAATTAAATGCATACTTGGGCCAAAAATAGATTTAAGAACAGAATGTGGCTTTTAAAAGTGTGAGAAAGCAGTTCGATTTGAATAATTAATTAGGATAACATACAAAGATTAATAAAAGCTTTTTATGTTATATATATATATATAAAAGTTCAAAATGTAGAAAAATTACGGAGCAATGAAAAAAGAAAAGGGAAAAAGAAAAATAATAATAGAATCCAGAAAGTAAAAGATATAATCTTTTTATCAGCTCACACGATTATANTATATATATATATATATATATATATATATATAATTTGTTTGCCTTCATTTTAAACTTATTTTTATTCTCTCTTTTCTTCCTTGTTTCTTTACAAAACTCAAGGACAAAAATGTTTCAGTCTCCTGTTTATCCTACAGTTTTGTTCAAACATTTTTATTATTTCTACTGAATAGGTAAACATAGAAGTAAAAACAATAACAAACAAATATACAGGTGACTAACGGTGTTGCTTTCAAAGTGCTCTAGTGTGCTAGTATGATTTCCTTTCAGTGTTTAAAATTTTTTATTACATAATTTATACAGTCCTTAATGTCATAACAGTTTCATGCAGATGTTTATATAATGGGAGTACTATTTAATTAGCTGCATCTGTCACCTATTGTATTTTAATCGTAAGCTAGGTTCTTTCTTATTTGCAAATACTTTATGGGATAATTAATTGTCTCAAAAAGTGAATTAAAAAAAAACTAATGTTTCAGAATTTGTATTTATTATTTTTTTTATGACAATGCTTTCATTTCATTGGGTGATAAAAAAATTTTTTTTTGCGTTTTTGTTATCCAAAAATAATGAGATCATTTGAAGCAAGTAATTATTTAAATGCTGCAACTTTTAAACATGTTGTTTCGATATGAGCTTGCTTGGAAACTAAAGTAAACATATGTTCATTCTCAATAGGAGGAAGCATCAAATTGCCTGAAACCATCAGCTGATGTTACGAATGATGATAATGAAGAAATTGATGTGTGTGATATAGCCCCAACTTTCCCCTTATTGACATTGTCTGTTGAAATCGAAAGGTTACAGAATTTAGATCATGCTCTTGACCTGTGGACCCAAATTTCCCAAGATTCTGTGCAAGCTTGGTCCACCCTTTCTGGCGAAGTGAATCTTTGGAATGTTTTAACCATAATAAATACTACAGCTGAAGTATATGCTACCTCTGTCCACGTAGGCTCTTATTTCTATATTTATGAAAAATGTACTGTGTTTATGCTTTCAATATGTATACAGTCTAACTTCATGTGATGCCACAATAGACATTCCATGTTTCCTAGCTTTTAAAATTTCTTTAATCTCTTAAATTTATTTTTTTAATCATTCTTAATCAAATTTTACATAAATTAACCCACTTATTTAATTTTTATTATATTTTATAAGAAGCAAATATGAAATATTTAATTATTTTCTTATCAATATAACGGCCAACTTTTTATTTCAATATTAATGTGAAACTCATTGAATCACTGTTGAGACTAAATCGAAAACAGAATCTATTTATAACTCTTTATTTCTTACCACAAAAATGTTTCAGTTACAGGGTTATACTAATTCTCGCAGTTTTTATGGCGATTAGGTTTTGCCAAATTATTTTTAAATTTTATATTGATTACTGTGGGTTGGCTTTGTTTTTGGCTATTTTATCTTTCAATAAATCACCAACCATGGATCTTTTTCCATGCTTCTAACTGTCTGTTTGGAACAATTCAATCACTTTTTAATTTGAATTTAGATTAGACTTATAATTTATCTCCCATGGCTTGACCTTACAGATATTATAATACAAAATGTATTATTTCGCTTAAAAAGTCTTTTGTATAAAATATTCTTTAATTTTGTATTGCCACTGTTACTGAATAAAAATTTTATTCAGTAAATGATTTCATCATAATCTTCAATTATACCACTCCAATTTTTTACATTGTGCTTCACTATAAAGAACTGTCTGTTGGCCAAAAAATACACTATAAACAATGATTCACTGTAATACAAATTCTTTGAAAAATATTTTTTAAACACCAACTTTTATTGCTGAAAATAGTGGTGATATCACGTAAGTTTTTAATAAATTTTTAACTAACAAAGTAAATAACTGAACAAAAATTCTAAAGACTTAACTGAACTAACTTAATTATACTAACTAATTATTAATTGATAAGTTAAGTAGTAACTTAACTAAAAATTGATTTTAATTTTACTTTCTATGGAAAAATTAGTGATTTTTTAGATTTAATTTTTAGTAGTGTTCATGATGCCAATTTTACTTTTAATATAGATGATGCTGAAATTTCACATTCTTTAGCATTGTCTTTTATGTCATCGTTGGCATTGTTCTTTTGTTTTAACTTTGAACGTCTTACACAGCAGCAATAAATCAGTTCTATTTTTAAAACTTTTGATAATTTTAACCCAATTTCAATTTCAAATGCTTTCCTTTTTACAGAATTAACCGTGAAAACAAAAAGTCTGCTTAACTCAAACCGATGTGTAAAAATATGAAATGAGCAACTGTAAGGGATAGTTGAATTCTTTGATGGCTCTTGATTTTCTCTTCTAGGGGGTGATTTGTAAAGAAAGGGGAAGTAGATATAGTGGATTGTAAGAATTAATTAGNTATTTGCACAAATTCATAAAAGCGGACCCTGCTTGAAAGAATGTGAGTAATTTTTTCACAATTTCACCAAAAACGGACCTTTCACAAAATGTCTGGACAGACCCCTGGAATTGTAAGAATTAATTAGGGGACTAGCTTACCAAGTTGTGTCCAGATGATTATTCTTAAATTGGGTTAAAGTAAAGAAGAGCGGTTTGTTCCTATATCGGGAGTTGGGGTATAGAAGAATGTTTAACAACTTGTTTGCTTTCCTTAAAGATAAGAATGAAATGAAAGTTGACACAATGTAAAAAAATGCTGTCATTTGTAATTCTGGCCCCTAAAAGGAATGAAAAGAAAAATCTACGGAAATGAAATTTGAGTTCACTATAAATGAGCAACAAATTTCTCTGCCTGTGAAATGACGTCAGGTTGAATGAGATTTCGGACAGAACAACTGCGAACAAATATTCACAATATATTCCAGGTTCATTAAGCTCGTTAGTCTATTTTGGTAGGTAAAATATCTCATTGCAAATAAAATTTTATGAATAAAAAATTTTTGCAGTAGGATGTGTAACTGAGGTATGTTTTTTGTTGTAGAACAAAATAGTTTCAATATTATCTTTTGAAAATAAAATTAAAACGGAGCAAATAGAAAATTTAATCATTTGTAATTGACACTTATTATTAATTATATACTTTAATTATTTATATACTTTAATTATTTGTCTGACACTTTTTTCCTTGGTCTATTTGCTGTGTTTCATTCTTTCTTTATTTTTAAAGTTAACAAATTGAATTTATATGAAAAATTACAATACAGAGTATACTTATTGCAACAAACAGCCCAAAACAGGAAACTAAAATTTAAAAAAAAATTAAAACAACCCTCAATTCTTTGGCATCAATCTCTAGTCCAGGAGAACGCTGATTATAACTTTCCCGAAATACGAGTAGTTTTGATGGTCCGAATTAAATCTCATGTTGGTCTGATTCAAATTATAATGATTTTCGAACAAGGTTAATTTTGAGCCTTTCTGGTATATGTATGCTATTCCAAAAAAATGCTATGCACTTTTTGTAAAATATTGTTCTGATTTTTTTTCTTATGCCTACTGTGAGGCCTGCTTTTGATTATTTAGAAATTTTATTTTGAATATTAATTATTAAGCTGTGTCTAAAACTAGTGCTTGGACTTTCAAGTGTGAAATGTTTCAAGACAGGAATTTAATCTTTTTAAGGACTGCTCAGTGTTATGTTATTGTAATAATTAAATAATTCCAGGTTTTTTTTCAGGACATAAAAGAACTGAGGTGCTTGCTGCTTATGCGAAATATTGCATCATTACTTGGAAACGAAGAAAAGGAAATCTGCAGTTCATTATCATTAATTCAGTTTCTCCTGCGATTTGGCTATTTGAAACTTGCATCTCATCTCTTGAAATATGTGGAAACATTATTTCCTAAAGAGGAGGATTGCTCCTTCAGCTTACAAGTTTTAAAATTAAAATCGTGTTTGACTACGAGTCATGTTTTGTATCACGAGGGAAAAGTAAGTTTCAGAACATTGAAGAGATTTTGGTTGGAAAACATGTTATGGAAATTTTAATAAATTGAAGAAAATTAAATTGAAAGCTACAGTAATAACAGGAACAATTAATGCTATAGTTTTACTGTTGATCACAATGTATTCTTATCTTATTACACTAAAATACTGCATATATTAACGACTGGCTGGAGATAATGTCTAATTTTCATAAAACTATAATTTACTTTAATAAGAATTGGTAACTAACAGAAAATCAGAGATAACACAATCTATTTTTTTTCCTTCATATTAATAAATGTGTCTAAGTATTATGATATCTCCCTAACCACAACGATTTGCTCATGTCAGTCAGTGATTTTGAAGAGAGTAAGTCAACGGAGATCCTCTCTCCTATCCTATAGAGCAGTGATGGGGAAACTACGGCCCACGGAAAGGTTTAATCCGGCCCGTTTAAGAGTGCCGTCGTGAGAATGTTTGAACGCGTTCTTACTTTGTAATGTGGCGACCCGCATAAAAACTACCTGCGGCGATATTCAAAACACAATAGTACTCTGTACAAACCCATCCGACCTAAACAGATGACTCATCTTCGCTCGAAACTTCCAGACACTCTCGCATTTTCGATTCATTGTTCTGTTTTCTCGAAAGAACCGGAAAAATCCAATTCCCGAACAATCCTTGCAGGTAAGTATAAATACAAGCGAGGCCGCCCGAAGATCAGTTAGTTAGCGACTTAGTCAGTCATCTGCAACGACCCGCTGTGACTCGAGTAATTGTTTGTGTAATCCCCGAAACTGCCACTGCCTCAATGGTCCGTGGGCCGAAGACTCAAAAGCAGTTCTAAACTGATTTTCGTTCCTACACTCGAGTGGCAATTTTAATCTTCCAAAATAGAACTCAATCTTGCCTGGGAAATATAAATTCGCGAAGTTCTCCAAAATATAATAGGCCATTAATTGACAGTTATCAAAATATTGAAGAACTATTTTAATTTCATGAATACAGAATTTTGCCCATGAATATTCAAAGAGGAGGGTACTGGGACGTCACATGAAAATGAACTGACCAATCACAACCAAAAAGCTTCGCGATTTGCGTCTGCTCTTGTTTCCTTTGCTTCAAACTGCTTTACAATTTTCGTATAAACGTTATAAAAGTTTAATAAAATTATAATTTCATTTTAAGAGGACCCGCGTTAGCATTAGTTAGCAGTAAGCTTTCGTCAATTGCGTTTCTGTGTGTTGTTCTCCGTAGTAGGTAACGTCTAAAATGGATGTTAAAATAAGAAAAGTGGATTCAGAATGTCGAGTTTTTAAAGAAGAATGGACGTGGAAATATTTCTTTACTTTATTTAAAGAAAAACCTGTGTGCTTACTTTGCAATACAACTGTTGCAGTTTTAAAAGAATATAACATTCAACGCCATTTCAAGAGCAAACATGAAAACCACTCCTACTCATCGTTAAGTGAAGAGGTGAAAAAAATTAAATCGAAAGATTTAATAAAAAATTTATCAAGTCAACAACAATTATTTCAGAGAGCTAATCATTCTCAAAGATGCGCTACGAAAGCCAGTTATGTGTTGGCTTATAATATTGCTAAATCTAATAAAGCATTTTCAGATGGTGAATTTATAAAGCAGTGCATGATAGATGTGTGCGATATTATGTGCCCTGAAAAGAAAAATGATTTTCAGTCACTGTCTCTCTCAAGAAGAACAATCACCGAGAGAATTGAAAATATTGATAAAAATCTAATTTCACAACTGACTACAAAAACTCAAAAATTTATTTTTTATTCAATTACCATGGATGAAAGTACAGATATCAGCGATACTGCACAGTTACTCATATTTGTAAGAGGAATCAACGCCCACTTTGAAATTACAGAAGAACTTGCAGGGCTGCAGTCAATGAAAGGAACAACGACTGGTGCCGATATATTTTGTGAATTTGAAAATTGCATCGATAAACTTCGTTTACCTATTGATAAGTTATGTAATGTAACTACAGATGGTGCTCCTAATATGGTTGGAATCAATCAAGGATTTGTTGGGAAATTTAATTCTAAGTATCCGGAAAATGATGTTGTTTTTTTGCATTGCCTTATACATCAGGATGCTCTCTGTAAATCGGCTTTAGATATTGACCATATACTTAATATTGTTGTAAAACTAGTAAATATGATTCGTTCCAGAGGATTATTACATCGCCAGTTTCAACAGTTTTTGGAGTCCGTACATGCTGAGCATTCCGATATCCTGTATTATTCAAAAGTTCGTTGGTTAAGTGCTGGAAAAGTATTTGAAAGAATTTGGGATTTAAAAGACGATATTGTGAATTTTCTTCTTGATAAAGACATTTATAATCAATTTGACGTCTTAGAAAACGAAACGTGGCTTTCTGATTTCGCTTTTTTCACAGACCTCCTCGTACACATGAATATACTTAATCTCAAATTGCAAGGGAAAAATCAGTTTCTTCACGATATTTGGCAATACCTGAAAAGTTTCAAATTACAGTTATTATTATTTGCTAATCAGATCTCTAAATCTGATTTTTCTCATTTTCCAAGAATACAATCTTTAAAATTCACTATATCAAACAATAAGATTAAAAAATACGAAATTAATTTGAGAAAACTATCTTCAGAATTTGAAAGGAGATTTCAGGACTTTAGAAAAATGGAACCAGAGTTTAGTATTTTTGCGACCCCATTCAATGTTAATTACGAAGAAGTTGATGCAAAATTTCAACTTGAGTTAATAGAACTGAACTGTAATACTCTCCTGAAACAAACTTTTCATACAGTACCATTACTAGAATTTTATAAAAATTTAAGTCCAGATAATTTCCCAAATCTAATTACTCATGCAATGAAGATAATGACAATGTTCGGCTCATCTTATATATGCGAACAAATCTTTTCAACAATGAAGCTTAGGAAAACTTCTTTAAGAAACAGAATTACAGATGAGCACCTTTCATCAGTTTTAAGAATTTCTGCTTCTCAAATGGAACCGGACTATGACGAAATTTTGAAGAAACAGTCTTAATTTCATTTTTCTCATGCACCATCAACCAGTAATGACACCAGAAAATAAAGTGATAATACTTCACATCAAGAACTACACTAAATTCATTTTATATTATGTGCTTATAATTTTCTTACCTTTCGTTTTTTTACTATTAAAATAAGTGTATGTAATAATATATGTATATGTTTATAGAACACATAAATTTTTTAACGATTAAGCATTATTCTTTGGCCTGCTACGATTGTCTAGTTATTACAAATGGCCCGTCTTAAAAAAAGTTTCCCCACCACTGCTATAGAGTTATGAATGAAAATGTGTTTTTTATTTGTTAAGTTTAAATAAATTTTTTTGTTTATAACCAAGCCTGTCTGAATTTTTGGCAAGAAATACGTTACAGTATCGTTTAAATCAGTGTTCCCCAACCTTTTTATGACCGCGGACCTGTCCAGGTTTGATAATTTTACGGCGACCCACTGGGGGGGGGGCGTTGATTGTTTAGATTTTAGATTTTTTTGAATTTATTAATTTTAATTTTATTGTATTTAAACATGCCTTCAAAATAAAATACAGTTACACCAACAAGTAAATATAAAGTGATTTAACATTTTAACTTACTAGAATGTTAAATCAATAAGATCCCTGAGCTTGTTTCTTTGCAATAAGACTGTTCTATCTGGGGGGGGTAATCGGAGACAATGACACCCAAAGTATGTTGCTTATGCCCAGTTTATTCCGTTGCTTTGTTTTGGTTAATGTTACTGCAGAAAACCCCGCTTCACACAGATAAGTTGTCGGAAATGGCAATAGGGATTATAGTGCTGTGGTGGCAATCTCGGGGTATTGTGCCATGACTTTAATCCAGAACACTGACAGAGTTGTTGTCTCGAACATAGTTTTAACGCCGCCATCATTTACAATCTCCAGCAGTTTATCTTCTTGCACAGATATGCTAGATTCGCCCGATTTGTTGACAAATGGGTAGCAGATCCATTCCTGACCAGATATTTTTTATTTGGGGTATAAACCTAGGAATTTAAATTCAGTTTCAATGAAATGGGCGTCCCGGTACCATGCGATCCACGGACCGATACCGGTCCACTGATTGGGGGTTGGGGAACACTGGTTTAAGTGATACTTCAAAGGTGAAAAATGCATTGAAAATAATTTGTCATTTCAGGGCTATCATTTTTGATAAATAACATGCATCAAGATAACTGTGATCATTGCATGTTTCAACTGAAAAATGCACTGCCCAAAGGGATTGACACTTCAAAAAAAATGTAAATACAACTTTCCGACAAAAAAAAGGAATAATTGCTAATTTTTATTATGTCCTTTAAAAAAAGTAACACAGATTATGAATAACCAACTAGGACTTAGGATAAGAATTTTGTTCTTCATGTCACTCTTCATTCAAGGTGCGTTATACATTTATTTTATGGTAAAATCAAAGGAATTGATGACATAATCTGTGTTTGATTTTGTAATTGAAAATATCGTCTGCAGCAATTTATTAGCATGAGCTGGCTCAAGGGATAGAGCCGAATCCCAGCAATGGCTAGTCAATATGAATTCCGCATCCAGCTTGCACCAACCACAATGCTGACGTAAAATATCCTCAGTGGTAGGCGGATCACGGTTAGAGTTCCCTTGCCGTCTGGCTAACCGTGGGAAGTTTTCCTGTTCATGTCATGCTAATGCAGATTAGTTCCATCAAAAAGTCCTCCACAAAAGCAAATTTCTCCAAATTCTTGATCTAAGAGTTCCATTGTCTTCTGGATCGGGTTAAAAATTACAAGGCTGTGATGTTGAACATTAGTAGTCATAAAACCAAAAATTGGGTGTCAGCTGTTCAACAACAGTTATAAAAAAATTATTAGCATGTTTTATATGAGATACTCGAACCATTAAGATCGCGTTGTTTTCATGTGAAAATCTGATCATTAGATCAAAAGTTATTGAGGGTGTTCCTTTTTTTTTTTTTTTTTTTTTTTTTTTTTTTTTTTTNTTTTTTTTTTTTTTTTTTTTTTTTTTTTTTTTTTTTTTTTTTTTTTTTTTTTTTTACATTGTTCACTCCTAGTATAGTGTTACTTTTCTTGCCTCTAAATCATGCTAATTTTGTAAATTGTTGAATTATTTCTTACATTTGAATTTCATTGCAGTTTGATGAGGGATTATTGCTTTTACAAGAAGTTTTTGAAAATCCTCTCTTAGAGAGATATTACAAGTCCACGAAAGTTCTTCTTATTGAAGCCTTGCTTTTAAAGTCCAAGTTCCTGCGAGTGTCAAATGTGGCTTATTCAGACACCAAAAATATAAAATATTTACTGACTCGGACTGAAATTATAGCCACATTAGAAGCTACAGCATTAGCTAAAGGGCTCTTGAAAAGTTCGTCTAATGAAGATTCTGAAAATTACCCAACAAGTTTGTATTTTTAGTCTATATTTTAGTATTTATTTTTTAGTATTGTATTTTTAGTCTATATCTTGATTTCATTGAATTTAATTTTTAAACTCAAACATCTATTTTAGTGAAAAATAAACGACCAGAAATTATTCTCATTATGATGAAATTTTGGTAACATAATGTTTTAATTCTTTAAATGAACTCAATGGGACTCATGAGTTTTGAAATTAGAAATCTTTAGTCCAGATGTTTTCCCAGTTAACTTCACCTGGAACAATTATAATATTAATTATATTATCAATCTTATTATCAATCTTATTATCAATTATATTATTGATTATAATTGTATGGCTTAAAATATCCTCAGTGGTAGACGGATCATGGGTTAGACTCCCCTTGCAGTCAGGCTAACCGTAAGAGGTTTTTGTGATTTTCTTCTCCGTGTAAAGTAAATGCAGGTTATTTCCATAAAAAAGTCCTCCACAGAGGCAAAAATTCCCTCAATACTTGAATTTTTAAAAAGCTTTTTTTTTTAAATAAATTCATCTTATGTTTAGCATTAAAAATGTACTCTAAGAAAATCTTGTTTATGTTCGAAAATAAAATCCTTATATAATTATTTTTGTGTAATTAATTTAAAACCTAGCTTTTTTTTTATTTTGAAATGTTATGTATTCAACACTATATATTTTCTCATTGATTAATTATCAATTTATCATAAGTTTGAAAAAAAAAATTTCCCTTTAAACTCTTGAAACATTAAGTCAAAATTAATGTGTACAGTTTTTCATTTTGCAAACTGTGTTTGTTAAAATTATGTAATTCTATTTCTTGAAAAATTTTACTGCTTTACTCTTTTATGTCTAGTATACTCTTTTATATCTAGTATATTATAGAGGCAACGTTTTTGGTTAAAACTTATTTTGTATTATAAGAATTCTGGGAGATTTTATTTTATTATTTTTATTTACTTACTTAATGCTTAGTTTAAAAAAAAAAACATTTTTTTAAATTATACTATTCAATAAGGAAATCAAATTACAAAAAAATCTTATATTTATAAATATTGAAATCAATCCTTATATCTGCAAATTTTTATTTTTACATTATTTTTTATTTACATTACATTTTTTATGACATATCTATTTTGTATTAAATTTTACTACTTATCATCATTTTATTTCATCTCTCTCTCTCTCTCTCTCTTGTAGAGTAGTTAATTCAGGAAGAAATCTTTTTGCAATTTTTTTAATTGTCATTATAATAAAGTAAAATTTATGAAAAAAATTAATAAATTTTTTTTTAAAAAATAAAACATTTTACAGGTTAAAATTAGTATTTTTTCCCCGTAAAATTAGAGGGTTTTACATTTGTTGATAATTGATTTGTTTTGGAGAGAAACTTTTTTTTTCACTGTGAATAATAATTTATTTCGTAAAATCTCATTTCTTACCCTTTTTCAGATTGGATTAATTATAGAGCACAACTACTCAAGTATATCTTAATGCTATTTTTGCAACTTGGGGAATTATTTTTCCAAAATGGAAATATTCGTTATGCCAGGTGTTACCTTCAAGAAGGGTTAAGAATGTCACAATCTAATCTTTTGACATATTGGTAAGACTTTCTGGTTGATTTTTATTTAAAAATACTTCTCAAATATTTTAAATTATTCTATGGTTAATTTGTGAAGAACCATTATTATCATTTGATGAATAGAAAATTTTTAACTCATTAGATGTTTTTAATATATAAAGAATTCAGACCTGGATATATTATAGTTTTTAAAAGAATCTTTCACTATATTGTGCTCAGCAGAAGAAAAAAGATTTTGCTGCAAGTTCATTACTTATTGACCTATTGGCAGAGAAAAATTAAGAAATTTTATGAAACTTTTCTCCTTTGCTATGCAGCAGAAAGTAACTTGTTAAAATTTCTCTTGTTTATTTAAAAACATTTCCCTGAACACTTGCGTGCTGTCAACTAGGGTTGATTTGCAAAGTTTTAAACTTGTAGTAAAACTTGTGTTTTCTTTTCTATATCAGTTGGGAAAAAGAAAATAAGTTCTTGACTTGGTTCTGAACTTAGAGTATTGATGTGTGGCCTTAAAATATATTTTCATTATTTCCTATTTCAGGAGGGAAAAAACCTACAACCGATTTTGCTCAGATTCTTTAAAAAGAATTGAACTTTAAATACAAAGTTCAATTTATTAAAAATTATCTTATATTACTATATATCTTTTTTTGATGTGTTACTATTTTATAGTTAATTTTTTAACTGAGAAATAGTGCTATCCACTATAGCAATCTAGTGCTCAACAGGTTTTTCATGGGTCTTAGAAACAGCTTATAATTTTTATTTTAATCTTCCAATTCTAAAATCATGGTTTAAAAAAACATTGGCTCTTTTTAAAAAAACAAAAACAACCCAGATGAATTTTATTGGGGTTTTAAGATATTGCCTAGCAAAGAACTGTCTTGGATATTAATATTTATTTCAAAAGAGAACAATTTCAGGTACCTTTCAAAGCAATAATTTAATAGTTAAAATAAAAAGTAACTTTAATGTAGTACCATTTTTTTCTGTGGGTATTAAGAAAATATTCTGAATTTGTTAGGTTGTTTACCATTATTTTTAAGATTTATAAAATATTTTTTACCTTTTAAAGTTTAGTTTTATTTTTTGTTCTAGATATAGTTTCATTTTCTTGTTAAAATAAAATCAGCAAACCTTTATCTTACCTCAAATTTACTGTTTATTTAATCATATTCATTATAGTTATTTGATTTGTTTTAAAATATGAAGAGTGAGTCTGAACAAGACAGCAAAACTTTACTGGGTGATAGAGCACATCTACACGAGCAAAATTTGTCGTAGAATGTATGGTCAAAACACGAGCAATGAGAAATTAAAAGGTAGTTTCCCACTGTCACATTTAAAGAATTAACACAAGAGTGGAAAAAAAATATTTCAGAAATTTTTTTATTTATAAGAATATAACTGATGTACAAAGAAATTGCTTGAAGAGATGCTAAAAGAAATTGCTCAAGTCATCTTTTAAATTACAAAATATGACTTTTATAATATTTTATCTTAACTTTTAGAAAGTGTTTATCTTTAGCTTAAAAAGTAAAGTAGGAACACTGATTAAAAAAGAAATTATTTATTAAGAAAGATCATTTCAGTTGCAAGTATATAAAGTAATTGTGTATTAAAATAAATACATTTGAATCAATTTCAGGTCTTCAAAAATTTTGCTGCTTTTGGGACAGATTGATTTACTCTGTGATAACGTAAAAGACTGTGCTGTTAAACTATATGGATTAAAGTATATTATGGATGAAACAATAAAAGAAAATATTTCTTCACTTCTATCTAACTTAGAGAAGACGAATATGTCGGAATGTCGAGGCAGCTCTGAAAATTTTTTTCTGGAACACAGTGAAACTCTGGAACCAAAAAGGGACGTCAAACAACATTTTATCGATACTTCTAATGTAGCCTCTTCTCCAGTGCAAAAGAAGAAAGGCAAATCTCTTGAATTTGAAGTAAAAACTCCTACAAGTTTCACTAAAGACGTAATGTCGGCTTATGCAGTTAAATTAGAGATCTGGTACTTGAGTTGCTTGCAGCTTTTAACAGAGGGAGACATGTCAGTTGCTGAAACTCAACTGTCTAAGTTATTGAAAACTTGCAAAAATCTTAAGAATTTGTTTAACATATCTGAAATGTTGGATTTCGGGAATTTGGACGTATCTTTGAAAAATTTGCAGCAAAAATATCCATCAGGTCCAGAAGTGGTTTTGCCTGTCATAGTTATGTATCAGCTATCATTGATTCAGTTGCTTAAGAATGATTTTGAAGGTGTTAATTCAACAACTAAACAAGCTTTAAATGTTTTAAATGCATCTTCCAAAATACCCAAGTATATTTATTCTTGGGCTTATGGCATGTTACTGTTAAACAACACTGTAGCCTCATTAAAGAAGAAATTGTCCATAAAAGGAAATTCAAATGTTGAATTTTGCTCCGTCCCATCTGTTAAAAACAATATCTTTGTAAGAAAAAGTGCTATACTCGAAAACCTCTCTGTGTGCCAAACCCCTCCCAGATACAAACCTATTCCAGATATAGTTGTCACTACCCCTGTTGTTAACAAGAAAAACGTGTGTAAAGCTCCAGTTAAAAAAGAAGTTTTGCCTCAACACATGGCTAAAGATTTAAAAGAATTGCCATCCTTAACTTTTAGCTGTGGTAGTGATGATGATGCCTTTATTACTAGCACCAAGAATGCTAATAAACTATTTGGTACTCCACCCAAGAAAGATGTTTTGCCTCTTGCAAATGATTCGAAACAAATGGGAGAACTGCCAGCCTTGCTCTTTAGCAGCAGCAGTGACGATGATGTGTTTGCCGCTGATACCAAAAAAGCCCAGAAACTGTTAGGCACTCCTACGAACCATGACAAAAAACCCAAAACTGCCTATAAATTTTTCAAAACAAAGAGTGAAAACGTTAAAATAGAATCATCGTGCGATGTGTGGAAATATTCTGTTAGCTATACGCAAAAAGGTAAAAAGAATATGGGAAAGACGAAAACTGTTAACCTTAAAAATAAATCTAAAAAAACTGCAATGAAGGCCAAAGTTGAACCGAGTTCTTCATCGGTTAGAGCACCTAAAAAAGTATATAATAAAATATCAAAAGACGAATTTAATATCTATGAAGAAGAAAGTTTTCTCTCTCCTTTGAAAGGTTCCATCGAGCAGACGAGGAGCTCTGCTGAGAAAAAGAAGAAGTGTGAGGATGACTCCCTAGATGATGTCATGAGAGATGCAGCAGAGGAAAAATTCTCATCTAATTTGGAGGGGTTGTGTCAAGATTTAAGCTCAATTGATATTACAAAAGACTCACTGAATGAAACTTTTATTAAGATTCCAGGTAACTTCAGCACTTTCATGCATTTTTCTTTTTCATAATAGAAATGTTCACATAACCAGTTAAGCATTTTTGAGATGAATTGGGCTCGTTTACTAAAAAAGGGTTTAGGGCCAGGTTGGGTTCAGACTAGAGATAAAATTTTCCTAAACTTTTTTACGACTTTTTGATGAATGTTTCATTTAGTGATTAATAATACGTGGTTCACAGCAATTTTAAAGGTGCTTATTTTAGTTCTTTAAAAGCCCTTAAAGATGCTTCTTTAATGGGTATTTTTAAAAAGTGCTTAATTTCCCCTTCTCGAAAATGAGGTTTTTTGCTTTACCATATTGACTTTTGCCACTTACTTTTGCTTCTTCTTGATACTTCATGTTTGATATATCAGTCAAATCCACTAATATTGGCTGCATCATCCATGTTGGAAAATCAGTTTGTTTTAAATCAGAAAATCTTTCTTTTGAATCAGCCGATAGAATTTTCAGATGATCGACAATAACAAATAAAGTGGTATGATTTACTTCACATTTTTGGAGCTAATGAAACTGTTCAAAGTTTTTGTTGTTAATATATTTCTGACATAACTCAATAAGGGTAATGAAACCAAATATCTTCGCTTTTGCATCAACAAGAGTTTTATTGCTTATTTAATATATTTAGTTTTTCAATGATATCGACTAAATAACTCAAAAATGCTTTAACATCAACTGTTAACAGATACTTCATTTCAGGTTTGTTGCTTATAAAATCACTTAGAGTATCAAACAGTTCCATAAATCTTTTCAAGCAGTTCCCTTTAGAGAGCCATCTTGCTTCAGTGTGAAGTAAAAGTCTCACATGGTCTGCATTTTGTTCTTCACAAAATAGCTTGACAAGGCACTTACATTTGGCATCAGCTTTAATAGCTTTGATGCACTTTATAACTGAATGTAGTACAGTAGGTAACCGATTATCCGGAACGATCAGGATCATCGCTATTCCGGATAACTGATTTTTTCGGTTTTCTGAATCGCTACAAAAAGCCGTTTTTTTATTGTTAAACCCAACAAAAAAAAGTTTTTTTTTTTGGAAATAATCTTAAAAAGAAGAAAAAACGATGAAGGAATACACTAATGATTATTTCCAAAATGATGGTAAGGTAAACATCTTTCAAAAAAGAAAGAAAAATCCTAAAATTTTATGAGGAAAAAAAACATTTTTTAAAAAAATGGCGGGACAATTCATCGAATTTCGTTCCGGTTTTTTTGGTTTTCGTGTTTTCTGATTTCCGGATAACGGGTTCTGTACTGTACTTCATTTAGAACAGGCGAGATGTTTTTAGTTACCAAGATTTCTCTATGAGTAACACAATGCTCAAGAATCATTTCTGGATTCTCATCTTTCATCAATTTTAAGCAGCCATTTTTCTTGCCCATCATATTAGGAGCACCATCTACAGCACAAGATGTTATATTTTTCATTGGTATATTATTGACATCTAAGTAGTTTTTTAGCTTATTATATATATCTTTGGACGTAGTGGTGCTTTCTAATCTATTACAGAACATTTCTTCAGCAAAATGCCTTTTATCAATATATCTTACGTAAGTTATCAATACTGTCTATCAAAGTTGATTCATCCAATATTGCACTGAGAATTTTCTTGTTTTCAGTTTTTCAACAAGTTGTTTTTCAATATCTTCACTCATTTTGTCTATTCTTCTGCAAACAGTACTGTTACTGAGTGGCATAGCTTTTACATCTTTTTCAAGAACCGTTTTAAGAAACGCTGATATTGACGGTTTTATTAAATTCTCTCCTATAGTATGATTTTTTCCAGATTTAGCATTGAATAAAGAAATTTGATAACTAACCTCAAGAATACGATTATGAGTTGAAGTGTGAGCAGTAAATAGAGGCTTAAATTTTTATTTAAAGTTTGAAAGCAATTCAAATCTGAATTAATATGAGCATTATGTCTCGCCTTTAAATATGCCTCAAGAGGACCTTGTTTCATTGATTCGTTGGTCAAGCATGCTGTCATAAAAGACAAAAAGGAAACCGCTCCTCATGAACAGCAGGTATAAACTCAAATTTTATATAGTCCTCCGAATATTGGAGATTTTTTTTCTTGCTTGCACCACTCATTTTACTATGGGCTGAAAGAAATATATATAAGATAAATTAAAAACTGAAATATGTGTTAAAATTTATTTAACATGACACAGAGTAAACATATATTAAAAAAATGCATATTTATTTAAATGTATATAACATGTTTACCACACTGCCATCGCAGAATAATATCTTTTTTCCATTTGATAAATTTTTTAGGAAAATTATACTTCTAAAATTAAAATAAATAAAATAAAATACTTACAAATTATATCGATACTATGTATATATTTTTTAAATCAACGAGACTTTAACAACAGTTTTTACAGACGCCTATTTCAAATTAACACCAACTAAATGATGGAGAGAAAAAAATGCATGAGTTATTAATACTCAAAGAAAGGGAAAGCAATTAAAACTAACTGAAAAACATGCTACAAAGTTTACATCTTTATTGATCTGTAATGATGCCAACAAGAAAAAAGAATATATGGAAATGAGCTTTTGTAATCTATAAATAAAGGGAGAAGCTTATACCTCATGTGCTGGGGTGTTGATTTCTATCACTGAATGCTGCGAAACACTACAGAAGTTGCGACTGGTCAGTCAGATGCGAATAAATGGGTTGTTTAGCGAGATTTTAAGGCATCCGGGAGTCCAATACTACATATTCAACTNCCTTAGAAGTGCCAAATGTTGCATACCATGCACCTTTTTTTACCCCTCCTGAAATCTCCTGAATTCTTGTTAGGGATACTCCTGAATGTTAATTTTGCTAGGTTGGCACGTCTGGTCTTGTTAAACGAATTTTATAATATTTATTGGCCACAATTATTTAAGAATTTGCTCTTTTCTTTCAATTTTGGCACCAAAATCTAGCATTGCATTTAAGTGGCCCGGAGCAAAAGGGTTAAGCTAGTGTCGAGTCCATTTTCGAATCCCCCCCCCGTAGGGCGCGAGCCCCACATTGGGAAACACTGAAATAACCTCAGATTGGACTAAGATACAGAATATGTATCCAATATGAAATCAATATCTGATACTGTTTCAAATTGTGAGCTGAAATGAAACATTTTTATATACAAGTGCATTCAGTGAAAATTATCTGTCAACATTTTTGTTAAATGTGTTCATGAAATAAAATATATTTCTTTTGTCTTTTGTAGAAAACGATTTGAAAATATTTATTGATGACTTGTCTAACATCAAGGAACTCATTCATCATAACTTGCCATATCCACTCTATCGAGATGTGTGCAAACTTTTAGCAATACTTAACCTGGCAAAAGTGAGTATATGATAATCTTTTTTTTTAATTTAGTGATAAAATTAAATGATACAAGGTCAAGGGTGCCATCTGTTGATTAAACCTTTGCGATCATATGCCTGCTGTCAACCACCAATTCCTATTCTTATTGAATATCTGTTACTGTAAAAGCCTGAATTTCGGTGAATCCTAAGCTTTACTGGTAAAACCTAGGATGTACCATAGTGTCTTGGTAAAAATCCAAAGTCTGCTATAATATGGTTCTATTTCGGACTATGTTACCAAGTTCTGGTGGTGAAACGTAGGATTTACCAACATCTTCCAGTAAAAGCCTAAAACAAGGGATAATATATGGTAGGATTTTCTATTTGCAGATATCTAAGTTACATTCCATTATAGGGATCCACCAACTCGTGGTGAGCTAATTCAAGACTACAAATGCAACCTTTCATCTTTCAGTATTAGGAATAGCAATGCCTTTAAATAATCATTGTTGAGTATACTGGACAAACATATACCAATCAGTAACAATTAACCTTAAAAAAATCAATGAAAAGTATACTTTGTTGTGGCATTTGACCTTAAAAAACATCAGTGTAGAGTATACCGGACAGTGGCATTTAACCTTAAAAAGCATCGTTCTAGAGTATGCTGAGCAGTTTTATTTAACCTTTAAAAAACATCCAGGCAACAACACTCATACCTCTTAAGTAATCAAATTACTAAAAAATATCATCATCATCATAGTTGGCAAGATAGCTCAATGTGGGCCAATGCCTTCCTCTGAAGATTTCTCCATAACGACTTCCGATTAAATAAATAGCGGAGAGAGAAAATATTTAATAGTGATTATTATTGATAGATTATAATGTTTAGTGTTGGATTTGGACAAAATAAAAATTATCCATCACCAACATCCCTCTTTAATGGAAGAGTACCATATATTGGGTAATATTCCAACATGTGATCTACCTTTGTAATACATATTTATTTTAACCAGTGCTCATTTTACATTTGCCCCGTATACCCTACACTCATGTTTTTTAAGGTTGAGGACCACTGCCCGATATGTATTTGCTCAGCATATCTTACACTGATGTTTATCACGGTGTGCCTTAACCAAAGTTAAATAAAATGCTCTTACACCTAGAAAATTAGAAGAGATTCTGAATTTACAATGTTAACAGATAATAAAAATCAAAATAATCTGTGGAGAGATTCTTAAAAAAATCCACTTTGAACATTTTTGCGCACAAAGTATGATATTTTGGAAAATCTGGCGTTGTTTTATATAAATAGAAAGGAAAAAATGATAAAATAATAATTTTTCAGTTGTAATTCTATTAAACTTTTATTATTTAAACATTTTACTGCTGATAAAATATAAAAATGTAACATTTAATTATAATTTCATCAATTTAAACACGTGAAGCATTATATCTACAAATAACGCTCAAAAGATGTTTAGAATAATTCGGGTGATTTGCAGCAACCTTATTCATTTCCCAGGAAGACTTTATGAAATCAAAATGTACAGACTCCATCGCCTGCTCCCCAAAAAATGCTAATCCTTCACCGTTTTTGTCACAGAATTGTTCAATCTGAAAAAAAACTGCATGAACCTTTGGTGTAATGCTGACACCTAAGTCCATGTAGCTCTTTTTGAACGCTTCTATACGTGCTTTGTAATTTTGGTCAAGATTATTTCCAAAGCATGCAGAAACCACTTTTTTGAAGTTGTCAAATACTTTAACATACTTCAGTATTGCTAGATTTTTAAACTGGCTCAGAAGGTCTACTTTATCCAAAAGTGTTTTGCATGCATTTCCTTTAAACCCAGAACATCCTCGTCTGATTTCACGCTGAACGTGACAAGCTTTTGCCCATGTTAGCAATTCATTTTCACACTCTTTCTTGAATATGTTGAAACATATGCATGAAAACAGTGTTAACAACTGTTAGACAAAGGTATAAGATTCGATTTTCGTTAGTTGTTGAAGATTTTATGCATTCAACTTGCGTCGGTGACGTCATGGTCTGCGGGGATCGGGCAGTTAATTTTCATTTCCTGTTGGTCGTTCTTGCGTGGATCATGACGTCATCCGTTATCTGTATTTAAGCTTCTACTGAAGCAAATTATTTTGTATTCTTTCTTTTCGTTTTGTCACTCTGTTTCTGACAGTTTGCTTACCAATGTTTTAAATAAACTTATTTCTTCAGAAACTTCGTTTTTCCTTTTTTGTGTTGTTGACTAACAGATATGATATTCTGCGACAATCTCGGTGTCATGGTTATCGGCATAACCGGGATTCATTTTCTACCGCCCTGAATATCGAATTTGCTTTAGCCTGGACTTAGCCGAGTCATTCTCAACTTCAAATGGAGAATCTTAAAGATGGGGGTCGTTCCCACCCACCAAATTTGCAAAGTGAATCGTCAGCTTAAATCTCAAGTTTGTTATGGTGTACTTCAAAATACTGTGGATTCGAAAAATAATAGAACATTTTCAAAATACGACTCTTCTAAGGAATTTTTCTCTAATTGACAAAGCTAATAGTTGGCATTTTTAAAAGAACTTTTTTTCGGAATATAAATCAACACATCCGAATTGGATGGCTGCTTCTAAAGATTACGAAGTTTTGTATCTAGTATGGAGTGAGCAACGATACTCCTTTTGCTTTTAAGAATCTTTGAGTTATAATAGTTTCGTCATGGAATCTTCGAACCTGCATATAGATTTACTAAATTCGTCAAATTGGAGTACATGGAAAGAAAATATCGACGTAATACTCATGGACCGAGGAGTGTGGAGTTTTATCTCCAAAACTGAGCCTGCCCTACCTTCAGAAGCAAGTCGAGAAGAAAGTCAGGAATACCTCTGGAGACGGGACAAAGCCTACACCTCGATATTTCTGAGTGTCGAACCCGAATACCGAAGTCTTATCTCTGCCACTACTGATAGTGCTGAAGCTTGGGAAACTCTAAAGTAACATTTTGAGCCGACTATGAGAGCAAGAGTTATTCAACTCCTAGACCAGTTCTTCGATCTGAAATACACCCCAGGAGAAGAAATTGGAATATTTGCAGCAAGATTAAAGAACCTGGTTTCTCAGCTGAAAGAAGCAGGACATCCTGTTGACGACCTATACCAAGGATTCCAACTTATAAGATACTTACCCAAGGACTTTCAAGGTATTGTTCAAATTATTTATAGATAGGAGGACACTAAATTTAAATTGAAGAACATTTTAGACGAATTACTTTTGGAGGAAAATAGATTTAAGCAACTAAATTTTGATTTAAATAATGTTAGTGATATTGCTTATAATGTTAATTCAAGTTTTAATGAAAAGTTAAGTGTAACTAATAAGTTAAAATCTGATTCTTCTAATAGTAAGGAAAAATTAGAATCTTCTAATATTAAGTCTAAATCCAAAACTAGTTATGATAAATCTAAGATAGAACCTTGTTATCGTTGTAATAAATATGGTAATTTAATATTAGATTGTAAGCAAAAAATAAAGTATAATTCAAAGAATATAATGAGTAAATTTAAACAAAATGTAAGTGATAATTCTTACTGTAATGTAACTACAAATGTTTTAGATAATAGTCTTTATACCGTTGAAGCAAATGTTGGCAATGTGTGTCATGAAATTCAGAAAGAAAGTTGGCTTTTTGACACTGCCGCTTCAACACATTTTTGTAATAATTTGGATTTATTCTTTGAATATGAAACTTTAAAAAATGTGTCTGTGTCTTTAGCCATAGGTGACATTGAAAGCCCAATCTTAGGTATTGGAAAAGTTCAATTTTTTAATAAGGTAAATGGTAAAATGCACAGAGTAACTTTACAAAATATCATGTATTCTCCTAAACTTAAAAGAAATCTTATTTCTGGTTCTGTAATAGAGAAAGCTGTAATAGAGATTATTTTGTGGGTGCTAAAAATTGTATTTCTGTGCATAATAGGGTTAATGAGAAGATTTTCGATTGTAAAAGAGCTAATGGCTTATATTATTTTAAACCTAATGTTTATACTAAGCCTGATAAAGATTTAGTTATTGACAAAAATGTTAGTGACACAAGTGAGCAATTGTTTAATGTATCTGTTCAGACAAATGATTTAGATATCTGGCATTTAAGGTACTGCCACATAAATTGTGATTATATAACTCAATTAAGTAAAAATTCTAGTGTGAAAAGATTACCTAATCTCAATTTTTCAGATAGTAATTGTATAGAATGTAAATTAGCTAAATCTAAAAGAATTTCATTTAAACCAAATTTAAGTATAAGGTCTAAAAAACCTTTGAAACTTTTACATATGGACGTATGTGACACAATGCCTGTCATATCACATGGTGAAAGTTGGTACTTTCTTTCTACCACTGACGATTTTTCATGGAAAGTTGCTATTTTTCCCATTAAAAAGAAATCTGATGTTTTTAATAGTTTCATAAGATACAAAAGGGAGCTGAAAGATTCTTAAACTGTAAAATTATAAATGTTAGAACTGATAACGGCATGGTATCTTGCCATAAAGAGTTTAGTGATTTTCTTGAAAATGAAGGTATAAAAGTAGAGCGTACTAATTCTTATATGCCAGAACAAAACGGTGTTAGTGAACGCTATAATTTAACTGCGTTAGATAATATTAAAGCTATGTTAAAGTCTAGTAAATTGGGAGATGCTTTTTGGGCTGAAGCTTTACGTACACTTTTAATAGAGCTTGTCATAAAAACCAAATTAAAACTCCCCTTGAATTGTATAGTGGTAGAAAACCATCAGTCACTCATTTGAAAGCATTTGGTTGTTTAGCATTTGTGGGTCAACCAAAACAGTGCGAAATAAACTTCAAATGAAAGCTAAGGATGTTATGTTAGGCTATGCAATACATACGAAGGGTTATAGAATTCGGCTTAAAAACCAAAGGAAACTTGTTGAAACAATAAATGTTCGTTTTGACGAAAGTGTAATTGGGGTGGAAGCCGTACTAGGCACCAAACCCATTAAACGTA